GCTTATCCTAAACTGCTTAGTATAGGTTGGCTAGTGATCCATCAGTGACCCCCCACTTGTCCTTGTTGCCCCAGCTTCATCATCGACGCCTCGATCGACGTGATCGACGACCAGAGCCCGACACCTCACATCACATCACGCCCCTTTTTGTTGCTCGACTCTACAGAGCTACTATCGAGTGCCGAGGGTGATCCCTCATAACGCACTCCTGATGATAATTATGTAGTATAGCTATTCGGTCGTGGTCATCGAGGGTGATTTCCTCTTTTACCATTCCCGATACGGCTCTGTCGTTCAACACCTCAAGTGTGAACCTCGAGGGTGGTCCCTCTTATGTTCACCTTGATGATTACATTGAGTGGAACCCTCCGGGGGTGATTCCTCGGGTTTTCCCCTTGATGTTTGGACACATGATTACAATGACTTTACTTGAGGCCTTGGTGAAAGTCGGGCGGGCCCGGAGAGCACCCGCAAGATAATGACGTGGCACGGTCGGGCATTCTGAGCCCTTGTCGTAAGTCCACGAGACGGGGTGACAGGGTCACTTTCGATCGTGAGTCTCTGCTCGTCTCCGCAAGCTAATAATACACTATGGTTTGGGTATTTGTTCTGAGTTGGCCTCTGGCCTTTACGCACTAACCACCACGCGAGAATAGATATGGGCCTCAACATCGCAGTATCAGCCGAAGCTTTGTCAGACGTCCAGTTCAGCAGTGCGGCACGGTCGGATCATGCTGGCCATCCGAGGCGGTGCTGGTATTCACCCTGCGTGCAACGACCCGGAGTGCTGCGGGCGATGGGTCCAAGACCCCAGAGTGCTTAGGATGTAGACCGGCGGGGACCTCTCTGTTGAGCCTAGGTCAGGCTGCGACGTGTTGATCTTCCGAGGGCGGGCATTGACCCCAGAAAGGTGTGTCCAACCAGAGTGATCGAGCGTGTTGGGTAACATGGTGCACCCCTGCAGGGAAGTTATATACTCGAATACTGTGTCCACGGTAATGGACGTTCATACTTATATCCTGATCTTATACAACTACAAATGGATACTTGAGATATGTGGCTCCGGGATTGCTTTCTCGCTGGGAGTCGAGGAAGGATCCCTGGGCATTAATGTTACAACATGCTTGTTAATTATAAACTGCTATTCTTTACTCTTCTACTTGCTGCAAGATGCTCGGAGCTGCGTGAAGATGCTAGTCTTCGATAGGCTAGGCCTTCCCCCTTCTTTTCTGGCATTCTGCAGTTCAGTCCACAGATACAAGCCTTTCATTTGACACCAGTGCATACTTAGTATAGATCTGATGCTTGCGAGTACTTTGGATGAGTACTCACGGTTGCTTTGTTACCCCCTTTTCCCCCTTCTTTCTTCTTTCTGGTTGATGCAACCAGATGATGGATCCCTGGAGCCAAATGCCACCGCCGATGGATGCTACTACGTGGAGGCCGTCGACGACCAAGAGTAGTTAGGAGGTCCCAGGCAGGAGGTCTTGCCTCTTCGATCGTGTTGCTTTTGTGCTAGCCTTCTTAAGGCATCCTTGTTCAACTTATGTCTGTACTCCGATATTGTTGCTTCCGTTTACTCTTGTGTATCGAGCTATGTATTCGAGCCCTCGAGGCCCCTGGCTTGTAATATAAAGCTTGTATTATTTTTGATTGTGTCTAGAGTTGTGTTGTGATATCTTCCCGTGAGTCCCTGATCTTGATCGTACACATTTGCGTGTATGATTTGTGTACGGTCGAATTGGGGGCATCACAACGGGCGCCCGTGGCCAC